CATCCATCCATCCATCATCCATCCATCCATCCATCCATCCATCCATCATCCATCCATCATCCATCCATCCATCATCCATCATCCATCCATCATCCATCCATCCATCCATCATCCATCCATCATCCCTCCATGGATCCCTCCCTCCCTCTGTCCACCCCTCTCTCCAGCCCATCCAGGCTCCCATCCCTCTCTCCCTTTCCCTCTCCCTGTCCCTCCATCTCCCCTTCCCATTGTCCATCTCCTGACGCTCCGTCCCTCCCGGCTCCCAGAGCTGCATCAGCTGGAACCGGGATGTCCTGAAGCGCTCGCTGGGCCTGGCCGAGCCAGACATCCTGGACATCCCGCAGCTCTTCCAGGGCGATGCCGCATCCGGAGCCCAGGCTTTCTTCCCGGACATGGTAACGGCACCCCCGACCTCCCCGGGATGGGATCGGGGACAGGATTGTGGCTGGGATGGGATCGGGGCTTGGATTGGGGCTGGGATAAGGGCCAGGATGCAATCGGAGCTGGGATGGGATAGGGGTTGGGATGTCCCCAGGGTGAGATTGGGGCTGGGATTTCCCTGGGATGGGATCGGGGCTGGGATGGGATCAGGGGTGGGATTTCCCTGAATGGGATCAGGGCTGGGATTGCAGCAGGGATTTCCCTGGATGGGATTGGGGCTGGGATGGGATCAGGGGGGGGATTTCCCTGAATGGGATCAGGACTGGGATTGCAGCAGGGATTTCCCTGGATGGGATTGGGGCTGGGATGGGATCAGGGGGGGGATTTCCCTGAATGGGATCAGGACTGGGATTGCAGCAGGGATTTCCCTGGATGGGATTGGGGCTGGGATGGGATCAGGGGGGGGATTTCCCTGAATGGGATCAGGACTGGGATTGCAGCAGGGATTTCCCTGGATGGGATTGGGGACAGGATTTCCTGGGTTGGGATGTCCCCAGGATGGGATCAGGGCTGGGATTCCCCGGGATGGGATGTGGGCCGGGATTCCCTGGGATGGGATTGGGGCTGGGATTCCCCGGGATGGGCTCGGGGCTGGGATGGGATCCCACTGGAATCTCGGCGCTGCAGGTGAACATGCTGGTGCTGGGCCGGCACCTGGGCATCCCCAAGCCCTTCGGGCCCGTGGTGGGCGGGCGCTGCTGCCTGGAGCAGCGCGTGCGGGAGCTGCTGGAGCCG